AACCGCCTGTCGGCGAATTTGGGTATGATTTCTATTCCTCGTCAGTAACATCACCACACACACGGCTTCAAAACCGGGCCAAAAACTCACTCTCGGGATACTGATGCGGTCCATAAACATTGTTGCTCCGCACAATGATCACCGGCAGCTTGAAGCTCTTCTGATACGAATGCACCAGCATCTCGGCCGCCGCCTTGCTCGCCGCGTACGGGTTCGTCGGCGCCAGAATGCTCGTCTCCAGCAAGTCGTCGTCGTCGTCCTTAACCTCGCCGTAGACCTCGTCGGTGGAAATATGGATAAACCTCTTGATGCCCACCTTCTTTGCGCTCTCGAGCAAGACGTGGGTCCCGTACACATTCGTGTGGGTGAACCCGTACGAGTTACCAAAGCTCAGATCAACATGCGACTGGGCCGCAAAGTGGAAAATGGTGTCAATGTTGTACCGCTCGAGGCAGCCCAGGACCTCGGACGGGTTGGTGATGTCGCCCTGGTGGAAGGTAAAGTTTCGTCTGTCGTTGAGGACTCTGGTGTTGTTGAGTGAGGAGCAGTAGTCTAGCTTGTCGAACGAGACAATGTTGTAGGCGTGGGGGTAGGTTAGTGTGAGGTGACGGACGAGCCAGCAGGCGCTGCGGGAAACATTGTCAGTTCCTGGGAGACCGAAATGCCGAGCCGGGTAACTTACATGAAGCCGGCGCCTCCCGTGATCATGATATTCTTGACATCGGGCAATGGGTCAAACTTGGTGCTGCCCGTGAAGATGGGCGCCTCCTTCCAGATGCCATAGTCCTCGAAGAAGCTGTTGTTTCGGCCGGGAGGGCGATAAGCTGGAAAATTGCGGTGAGCATAGACGTTCGGCTTTTAGATGCTCAAAAAGGCGAGGGCTGCCTTACCATTGACTGACCCAGCGGGCGAGACTGCCCCAGCCGCGATGGTCATTGTCTCTTTTAGGTTTTATGAGATATAAAAGTATATATGGCGAGAGAGAAAGGTAAATAATGCCGAGCGCGTGTTGTCCGTCAGGAAGAAGTTGAGGCGGGCGGTTGGTTCAAAAGAGAGAGCAAGCAACCTGGAACGACGACCGGATCCTGGAGCAGAAGAGTAAGTACGAGCGAGGAATGCAGACCAGTATGATGAACCCTCCCTAGATCTCTCTCTCTCTCTCTCTCTCTCTCTCTTTTTTTTTTCTTCTTTTTTTTTCTCTTTCTCTCTCCCCGCAACACGCACCAGCCGATACAGACACATATACGTACCTTACCCTTCCTCTTGTTTCATAGGAATTGTTGATGTCGGTGACATTGGCTTGTTGCTAATAAAAAGTAGAGGTCAAGCAGAAGAAAAAAAAAGTACCATGTGCAGGAAAGCAAGCAGCAGCAGCAGCAGCACCAACCACCACCACTCATGGCAGTGAGACGGAAGATCGGCCCAAACGGGCAAGGCCTGGCTTTTTTTTTTTTTGTTTTGTGTTGCTTTGCTGCGAAGGAAAGGGTGAGCACACTGCGAGGAAATCATGAAACGGTACCTGATATGGAAAACGCAGAAGCCACCTTTGCCTTTGCTCCTTCAGCTTTCCCAGCCTGTCACCGTCTGATCACTTTCCCGCGTTTGTTGGTTGGCAGAGTTCAGGGCTTCAGCTCCTTCCAGGCACACGAAGTAACCAAGCATGGAAACTAAGTACCAACAAGGCTCCAAGGTGGTCCCGTAGGTTAGGTAGACACACGTCCACGTAGTAGATGGAGAGAGAGCTATCATCTAGCGCGCCGCTTCCTCATCAAGCAGGTCTCCAAGTTCATGCCTTTATGAGGTGTTCAGCCAGCCCTCTACAGATGGGATGGTTGTTGGCCATCTGATGATGTGACAAGGGGACCCGTCCGTTTTCTCGGCCGTGATGGGAGGGGACTGGAAGGGCTGAAGGAAGGGGTCCCTGCCTTTGTTTGGCGGTAGTTCAGCGGAGGGGCAGGGCAGCAAGGGCACCCCCACCGAAACAGAGTGTGGGCCGAGTGCTTCAAGCGGGGGGGATCATTTTAGCGCGCAAATCCCCCGTCTCAGGCAGCTCACCTATCTCCATCAATTCCAAAGAGCCCGTCGGCGAGGTGTTGTTGTTGGTCTCGTGTCAGTTGTTCAAATGGGTACGTACTACCTAACGGGTAATAGTCACCGTTTTCTTTTAGTGTAGTCAGGAACGAAACATCCACCAGTATTATTCCAAAATACGCCATGCATATCCGTATCCTCATCCATTCTTCCAGCTCGACGGCAGGGGGGGAGGGGGCCTTTCTTTCTCGAACCACCATCTGGAATGGGCCTTGTCCATATTGACGGCGCTATACGGGATCTGTGCTGCAGATTTCAATAGTTTTTGTGCCGACCCTGAATTCCAGCCGCAATGAAAGAAGGCCCGGGGGATTTTGGGGGGGCAG